AAAAAAAAAAAAAAAAAACTTTTGGCCAAAAAAAGATTGGCTAAACAGGCTATTAGTCTTTCATGTACGAAGACACGTGATAGATTTGCATAGCTATTTGTCTAAGTCATTCAACACTTTAAGGCTTCATGCAAGAAGCCACTTGAAAATAGATAGAACACTTAAAAATTTAAAAGACTCATGGCTATTAGTTGTAAATGAATTTTCAAAAAGAAATTTTTGACTTTGCATTATAAATAATACCAACACTGAACTACAAGTTATTACTTTTTCACGTATTAAAATGATATATGGTCTCTCTAGTCTTCGTGTGTATCTTGAATCATTTACGATATTCAAGGAAATAATAATCAAAAGCAGAAAAGAAAATGCCATTATACAGCAGTATTTTGGGATTCCGCAATGAATATGATCCATTTTTCAGGGTATGTACCGAATTAAAAAAGAAAAACAAATTAGAGAAGAGTTTAATTAAGATAGTCTTAATTAGGAGTGACAAACGGGCGGGTCAGGTCGGATATGGTTTGGATCGAAAACTGGTAATAAAAAACGGATAAATTATTCGACCCGATCCATATTTAATACGGATAAAAAATGGATTGGCGGATAATATGATGGATAACCATATTATCCATGACTTCTTGTATATGATCACTTTTGGGAGAATTCTTAGTCTCCCTAGCTTGAGGAAACCCCCAATTTGAGGTTTTACAAATATAAAAGTTAGACTCATTGGTTATCCATTGGTTACATATTGGTTATCTATTTTCTAAATGGATAATATGGTTCTTATCCATATTTGATCCGTTTTTAAAAATTCATTATCCAATCCATTTTTAATGGATAATATGGGTGGTTAACTGTTTTCTTTTAACTATTTTGCGACCCCTAGTCTTAGCTATAACACGAGAATAGGCTACAGCCAGAGGCGGATCCAGACTTTGAAGTTTATGGGTTCCTATAACGATTTCACATTATCAATTAGATTCACAATCAAATATTTATATATATTTAATAAATTTTTTAATACATATACAAGGACCGTGCAATAGTTACCGAATTTCCAGGAATCCGCACGCTATCCTAGATCCGCCACTGGCCACAACCACCTTTGTAGCTACCAGTGATCAATAATAATAATTAATGTTTCTGATTTCAACTTATACCATTTAGGTGCATGATGATGACTACCTAAAGTCTTTACTTATATCACTTTTCTTTTTTCGTTATTTACATTTCACCCCATTCACAAGAAAAATAAAAATAAAAATATGGGAAAAGATGGAGAAAAGTAAGCCTAAGTTGTATCATCTTAGTGAATTAAGCGTTAAAAGACATCGGCTCGCCTTATGAATAGGCTGGACTTGGTGGAGGTTACATATTAGGATCTATAGTACTATTTTCAAGTAGCATAAACTTACGCAGCAATTCTTTATTTTCCAAACTATGATTCCCGACTTTTCTGGAAACAATTAAACTAACCCAATTAATCGCCCGACCCCTACGCCATATACAGCAAAGCCCCAGCTTTACGGGACCCCGCCACCTCGGAATATATGTGGCGACACGTTTGCGATTTTTATATCTTCAACGTTTTTTTTTTGGAAAACGAAAAACAAATACTAGCCGATTTGAACCATTATTTTCCCAAAGTTGTTATTTCTTAGTTGCTCTAATCACTCGTGATTACTTGTGTTACTTTCCCGTTCACAATAAGTGATCAATTTGTTTTTTTTATTTTGGTTCAAAATAAATATCTATTTATATAATCAGAAAGAATTCAATTTATTTTTACAGAATTATCCTTATGTACATATCCCTAAAAAGTTTTCTTACTCCTCACATTAAATATTTAATTAAAGGTAATTTAATCATACTAGGAATTTTTATATAGAATTTAGCATTTTCTTAATGGACGTGCCAAAAGCAAATTGATCATTTATTGTGGATCGGAGAGAGTATTTATTGTGAACCGGAGAAAGTAACAATCAGCATAGTAATTGCCCGAGCAACTCTAGCCAACCACCTGTACGGTGATCAAATGACCACCCTTGATATTTTTCCTCGTGAAATAGTTAATTAAATGCTCGATTACCCTATAGTAAGACGCATTGAGTTGATTAATTAATGCCGCATTCGAGTTAATTCTCAAAGTATTACTTATTTGAAGGCACTAAAATTTCCAATGAATACGTGTTGGTAAACAGTTCCGAAATCATTTTAATTTTTTTCTCTAAGAGATTGGTTGACAATTTTTTCTTTAAAATTTAAAGAATTTCGAAAGATCATCTTTAGCTAAAAATGTAAAAAATTACTTATAGATGTGTATAATTGAACAATTAGGACTATAACTCCTTACTTAAATATACAAGCCTTTTTATTTTAATAAATTTAACGAATTGGATCATACTATGACCCGCTCAAAAAACGACACAATTTGCTGTGTCACACTTTGTTTTTATTTTCCCCAAACGCCGTTTAAAACAAAAGTTGAACCATACACGATAAGATATTTTCGTAACGAATACCGCTATCTTACCTGCCTTATATTTTTGGGAATATTCATTTTCTCGTCACGACTGATTATCTCGCGGGGAAGGATAAAATAACCTAGCATTTGTTAACCAAAAAACAAAAAAGGAAAAACCTAGCTTTTCTTTAACGGCAAAAGGACCTATAAATACAAGGCGATTACAACACTATTTTCTCATGGTTGAAAGATCCGTAACCTACAATATTTACCAAAAGAAGAACAGAGTTTCTTCGTTATCAATGGCGTTCAAGAAAATGTTAGCTGAACGTCTTTTCAATGGTTACAATATTACTCGTCCTTCCCTAACAACCTGCCGTATTTGCTCCTCAACCATGACCAAATCGATAGCCTCTTCAAATCCTAGTAAGAGAGCTCCAGATCCCGGAGACGATCGTTTTTTTCGGCGATATCTCCACCGTGACTCTTTGGCAACGTCGCCGGAGCTCCGGTCTCTTCCCATAGGAGAAAAGCTCCTTGAGAAACTGAGAGGGATGGACATTGCTAGAGATAGGATCAGACTCGACGGACTCATCCCACCGGCGCATCAGAAACCGTTGCCGGAGGAGGACTCCGATGCGGAGGAGGGGAAATTCACGTTGGCGGATGCGAAGAAGGTTCTGAGGTTGGCGCAGCTTGAGGTGGTGAAATCTAGGCTAAAGCAGATAGAAAAGGATTGGATTTCGTACGCGGAATTTATTCAGATCTGCAATGGAGCTTGTCCAAACGATGATCAAGCCCTAGAATTCGCGAAGATGCTCGATCAATCGGGAACTGTAATTGTTTTGGGAAATATCGTATTCCTGAAGCCTGACCAGGTTGGTTTTCTTTATTTTTCCCCTCACTTTTTGTGCATTTTTTTAATTTTAGTTGTGGATATTGATAATTAGCCAAGAATCAGATTTACCTGATGTCTATGTGCATTTATTAGCTCATACTTTGCTGCATTTGCTGAGAAGTACTTGATGTTGAAATATCTTTTCTTTTGTCATTTTCAGTTCTGAGACATATTATTATTAGTTTGTTTTTTGTATTACAAGTCTACCGAAAACTGATAGAACTTTTATCTATTTTTTCTCTATGTTTTCTTCGACAGGAAAGTGAAACAAAGTTATTCGAGATCTCTAAAACGAGATGGTGACTTTTATATGGGAGTGCATCAGTTGGACCATTTTCAAAGACCCAAAATTACACCATTTCACACCCTCCCCTGTTTTTAAGAAACTGAAATTGTTGGCTACTAAAGCTCTTCTCCCACAAAAGCCAAGAAACCTTTTATTGCCTTTTCAATTTTTGCAAACTTTTGAACTAAACGTCATCCAATTGTTTTTACTTAACTAATATTCTCTTTGAAATAGTGACAAGAGATACTGTTTTGGTGGGGAAGGGATTAGGAAAAGGACATTCAAGTTTTAGTGGAGTCCAAAAATTGGTAAATCCTCCACCAGAAACAAACGAAATACATCTATTCCTCTTTCATTTTTTAACTCCCCCGCTTGTTTTTTTCTAATGCTTGACGCATCAGAACTGTAGAAAATTGGAAAATTCAAGATGGTGAGAATTTGTCTTGCTTGTTATAGGAAAGTCCATTTGTTCGTTCAGTCTGTTTGGCACCCAACATAACGCTGGTGGAATAGACACTATTTTGAATAGATTCAGAATTTTAAGTTGCGTGTGTGTGTGATTGTTTAACCATATAGGAGTAAGTATATAAATTAGTCCAATATAGCTGAACGGGTTTCAGGCTTAACTATGTACTGCAAATGGGAAGTCATTATCATTCTGACATAATCTACGTAGAAATAAGGCGTGTGAAGTGGAGTTCTATTCTTTTACCCAAGTGTTTTGGTCCCTTTTTTGTTGCTACAGGTGGTGAAAGCCATGAAAGGCCTAATGCCAATGCCCTTGGCCGAACCAAATGACCCAAAAATGATGAAGGAGCTTCAACAAATGGAGGAGAAGAAAGCAGCAATTGACAAGAAGGCAGAATCATTGGTGCGGACAGAGTTGTGGTGTGGACTAGGTTACTTTGTGATTCAGACTTCAGCTTTCATGAGGCTCACTTTCTGGGAGTTATCATGGGATGTAATGGAGCCTATTTGCTTCTATGTCACATCCATTTACTGCATGGCTGGTTATGCTTTCTTCCTTAGGACCTCCAAAGAACCTTCTTTTGAAGGTTTTTTCCAGAGCCGGTTTAGTGCAAAGCAGAAGCGATTGATGAAGCTTCATAATTTTGATCTTCATAGGTACAATGAGCTCCACAGAGCTTGTGATCCTCATTCGACGATACCTGCTGGAAACACCTTAACATTTCATTCATCATCTATGATGTCCGCAGCATAGATTCTGGCAATTTACATGAACATTTGATGAATATTGTTTAGGAATAGTGAAGGAAAGAGGAACCAAAGAATGAAAAGGACGGATGGCACATTTTGCCTTTTCTTTTTTACTTTTTTACTTTTAAGTTAAAGTCAAATGGATATAGAGGATGCATAGAGCTGATCCCAATTAATTTGGGTTGAGGCGTTGTTGTTGTTTACTTTTACTTTTGACCTAGATTAACGTTTCGATTTATCTATGTCACGGCTAATGTATATTAAGTGGAGGGTTTATGAAATAATGGAATTTAAAGAAATTTCAAACTTAGCCGATATTTTGCTCACCAAACTTAAAGTTTGCGCTTCTCTTGATGTACATATGAAATGTGGACCAGGGTTCTTGGAGCAATCTCTGATTATCATTTCCAATGGTTTCATTTGAGAAATCTCATTAGAATATTAGGCTAGAATAATTAAAGTTGATCTCTACCGATTCTTGTACTGTGTATTTGATTCAATGGATATGCCTACAAATAATTAACAAAAAAATAATCTCGTCCTTGTCAGAAGACAAAAACAGAGAGGTGGCAAAGTAATTGATTTTCCATTTTATCTCCCCAGATTGTTGGGAAATCTAATGGTATAAGAATAGGACAAACATCAAAATGCATCACATTTGTCACGATCCGAAATTTCTCTCATCGGGACCGTGATGGTGCCTAACATCACACTTGCTAGGCAAGACAACGTTAGAGTATTATTAATCAATTTCCTTTATGTTACAGTGATTAAAAGTAAACAAGCTAAAACAAGTAGAAATAATTGCGAAAGCAAGTATACATCCTCTTTGTTTATATACTATTACCATTACTACCCAGAATTCGGTGTCACAATCCACGAACACACTATGATTTTTCTACAAACATCAGTTTGAAAGAAATTTACAACTTTTTTGGAGACAAAGAAAAATAGTAATATTGAGATGTAGAAGGGGACGCTAGGGCTTGCGGATGCCGGCAGGACTACCTTGGGTCTCCTAGTTGAGATATCTGCTACTGACCTCTCGATCAGCCACTACCCGCTCCAAAATCTGCACAAAAAGTGCAGAGTGCAGTATCAGTATAACCGACCCCATGTACTGGTAAGTGTCGAGCCTAACATCGATGAGGTACTGACGAGGCTACGGCGAGGCAATTACAACATAACCTGCATACAGTGTATAATAAAAGTAGAAAGAAGGACAGGACAAAATAAAGCAATAACTTGCAACAAACAAACACGGAACTCAAATGTCTTATCAGTATCCAGTTATAACCAATCTTTAAGTGAATTGCAAAACTACAAAATAACTTACACAGTAGAAGAAAGATACATAAACACACAAACTGATGCAGCGCGTATCCCGATCCCACCATATAATTAATATCAATATGAATATTCACCCTTATTACTCCATATCAATCCACCCTTATTCCTCCAGTTGCGGCGTGCAACCCGATCCCACCGTATAATAGCAATTCACTCTTATTCCTCCTCAATATATCACCCTTATTCCTCCAGTTGCGGCGCGCAAACCGATCCCACCATATAATAGCATTTCACCCTTATTCCTCCTTAATATATCACCCTTATTCCTCTTGTTACGGCGCACAACGCAATCCCACCATATTAGTACCAATTACACAGTAAGAACAAAAATTTCACAGTTTACTCAAAACTCTTCACAATATTTAAACCTCAAACCAGAGCAAACGGAAAGCTTGTACATTATGAAATTTCACACAAATACTACTACTCAGTGAAACCAATCCAAAATATACCATAAAACACCGATAAACCAGCTTAAGCCAATAATATGAGACAATAAAACTACAGGATATCTAATACTTTTAACAACGAAAAATAAATATCTGACAAGTAGCAATTAAACATGGAAATACCAGTAAAGCATGTGACAGTTAAGGCACGGAAGACAATATAATAAGAATGGGAAGAAAACGGGTACAACAAATAAATTGGCGGCGTATAGGTACTCGTCACCTCACATATACGCCACTCAGATGGTCACATAGCAATTAAGTCAAGGATCCCTAATCCCTCGAGTCAAAGTTAGACACAACAGTTACCTCGATCCACAGGCCACTCACTGCTCAATTACCGCTTTTCCTCTAGATTCCACCTCTAAATCACTCGTATCTAGACATAATTAACTTATTTACGTCAAATTTTGCTAAAGGAATCAATTTCAATACATAAATTTAGGTTTCCCTACATTTCTCCCCAAAAGTCAAAAATTGACCCCGGGTCCGCTTGGTCAAAACTTGAGGTTCGGACCAAAACCCATCCACCCATTCACCCCCAAGCCCAAATATGTAATTAGTTTCGAAATTCGACCTCAAATCGAGGTCTAAATTCCAATTATAAAAAAATTCCTAATTCTACCCAAACCCCCAATTTCCACCATGAAAACCCTAGATTTTAGGTTGAAAATTCATGAAATGTAATCGGTAATGAAAAGAAAGTAGTTTAGAATCATTTACCAACACTTTGAGGAAGAAATTGTCTCTTGAAAATCGCCTTTAGGGCTTCTAGTTTTGAAATTTTTGAAATAATGGCCAATTCTCATTTTTGCTTCTGTTTTAAGTGTTGGGCGACAATGTTCATCGCGATCGCATGAACACTATTGCGTTCGCGAAGAGCAGCCTTATCAGGACTTATGAGATCGCGGGAAACACTACGGGTTCACGAAGGTTTAGCCCGCCCTACCTTTGCATTCGTGATACAGGGCTCGCGTTCGCATAGGGTTTTCCAGGTCCCCTGACCAGCCTTCCTAAAGCTACGCGTTCGCGGTTGATCGGTCGCGTTCGCGACCCTGGTCTCGCGTTCATGTAGAGTGAAGCCCTCCCCCAGCCCAGTTTTCCCTTCGCGATCGCGAAGCAGAAAGTATCAGAATACCAGCTACAACAAAACACGCAAGATTTTCCAAGTCCAAAACACTCCGAAACCTATTCGAAACTCACTCGAGCTCTCGGGACTCCAAACCAAACATGCACACAAGTCTAAAAATATCATACGGACTTGCTCTTCCGATCAAATCTCCAAAATAACACCTAGAACTACAAATTTAGCACCAAATCACATGACATTCTTATGAATACTATGAAATTCCTATTTTCACAACCGGACGTCCAAATCACGTCAAATCAGTTTCGTTTCTTACCAAATTTCATAGATAAAGTATAAATATTATTTTGAGAAAATCTCACTTTATACCCATTAATTCCAAACTATTTACCCTTCAGTACCCAGGCCCAAACTATTTACTACTCCTACCCATGGGGCCCAAATTATTTACTCGCTAATTTCAGTCGCTGCTTTGCCAAAGATGGAAGCGATGAAAATATATCAAAGCAATAAGGTTCATTTGCAATCTAGACCCCTCAATTGACGAAATAGGAAGACTCAAAGAATCCACATATAATTAGTGACCCTGAAGAACTAGGTGCTACTAAGTCAACAACAGAATAGTTAGAGGCAATCATCCTCTTTATCGACTTTCTGGGAAAAAAGCTCTACATGGGTTTTTGACTCAACCCCAGACGCAGAGACACATTAATTGACTTTTTTTGAGCTAACACCAATTGATTTGCATGGTTCCATGCTAATATCATCTTTTGAGAATCTTCCCATTACGGATTAATAAGAATATCCACCATTGTTGGGCTTGAATCTCAATTTTATTTTTGAAGATTTCTTGTTTGATTCAAAGTGGGTGCAGTTAAATATTGCTTATAGTACCTTCTGGAAGTTCATACTGAAATTTGATAGCATTTGGAGCTGATTTGAGGTGATTGAGATCGAAATTTTCAGTTGAAAATCGAAGAAGAACACAGCTACAATATACCGCTACGGTATACAATATGTTGTAGGAGTATATAGCTATACTGCAACAGTACACCATTATATTTTATAAAACAGTATACCGCTACAGTATACTAATATACTATAGGAGTATATAGTTATACTGCAACAGTATACTATTATAGTATACAATATATTATTATGGTATACTGTAATAATATGCAAGATATTATAACAATATGCTATAATAGTATACAATATACTATAATAGTATACTTATTACCCGTAAATTCACTTGCCTTTTTTTTAAAATTTGTTTCAAGCTTTTACCCAGCGTGAGGGGCAAATTGAAAATGCAAAAATAAATAAATATATAGTATGCTATATGATGTAACGATATACTCTTACAAATAGATCCTTTTAGAATTTTTTAAATTTTTTATTGACAACTGATATTATTTCAGTTTAATAATTGAATTAAATTTTTTTAACTCTTTGCGTACAATTGTATACCCTGTTAGTATAGCTATATACTATACAGGTATCATATGTTAGGTAATATTTTTTTTGATTGTATTAGCTACATTTAATTGGTACACAATTTGATTTTTCTTTAGTAATAATATAAAAAAATAGTGAAAATAGTAAATGAAATTAGATTATGAAGAGAAAAAGAATATAAAAAAAAGAAGTTAAATGAAATTAGAAAAGGAAAAAAGAAAAAAATAAGAAAAAAAAACGAGAAAAAAGAAAAGGAGAAAAGAAAAAAAAGGAAAAAAAAGGAAAAGAAGCATAGAAATAAAAAAGAATTTGAGAATAAAGAAAAAACTCCCCACAAAACCTACTATGGGTAGGAAATGTAATTAGTTTATGGGTAGAAAAATAAATTGGTAGATTAGGGTAAATAGTTTTGTTTTTGTGGGTAACTGTGTCAAAACCCCGATTATTTTGGACCTGTACCGGGTCCGGAACCAAAATACGGGGCCGATACCAACAAGATCAAACATTAACCAAATTCTTAAAACCATTTAATTTTTCGTCTTTCAATTTTCATCAAAAATTCATTTCTCGAGCTAGGGACCTTGGAATTCGATTCTGGCATACGCCCAGGTCCCATATTTCGGAAGGACCCATCAGGACTGCCAAAACACGAGTCCTGGTCCGTTTACTCAAAACATTGACCGAAGTCAACTAAATCAACTTTTAAAGGCAAAAATTATTATTCTTATCAACTTTCAACATAAAATCTTTCCAGAAACACGACCGGACTGCGCATGCAAATCGAGGAGGAATAAAATGAGGTTTTGAAGGCCTCAAAATACAGAATCGAGTTCTAAAACATAAGATGACCTTTTGAGTCATCACATTCTCCACCTCTTTAATAACCGTTCGCCCTCGAATGGACATAGAAAAGTATATGAGCTGGTGAAAAGGTGGGGATATCTGCTCCATATATCGGACTCGGACTCCCA